AGATAGAGAAGAAGAAAGGATCAAGTCAAGTCACAAGTGTTCTGAGGTTTGGAGCATTTAATCTTTTCAGGGTCCAAAGACAAAATTTGAAGGGGTGCCCCAGTGTCCCAGAAATTTTGAAAAAAAAAATTATTTTTTCTTACAGAGTTAACCTTTTCAGGGTCTGTGCCGTAGACCTACGGCTTTACGTTCAGGGTCCAAACCGTAGATCTACGCCATGAGCTCAGCTCACTCTGATAAGCTGTGAATGGTAAATTTGGGCCTAGATATGAGAGAATACATCTTTGTGGTATGTGTGCACCACATAAAACAAATCCTGCAGCACACAGTGTATAATGAGAGAAAAAAACAGAAATAGAGATGATTTTGATTGGTTTTAGCACTGGAAATGGCTTGAAACTGAGATTAAAGTAGCAGAAATGTTAAATTTTTGCTGATGTTCAAGAGTAAACAAACGACCTCACACGTCTAATACACGCCAGCTGGTGGGTCTAATATACATTCACAAATGTGGTGATGATATTTATACAATTATTACAATATTGCATAACAGTAAATCTTCTATTTTTTGGTTTGAATAAAAATTCATTATGTGAATAAAAAAAATCAAAATGAAATTCATTTGTAAAGCCTCAAAACATAACTGTTGAACAGAGAAAATGTTAGTTCAGTGCCAGGAATACCTACATTGTTTATTCTGGACCCTATTTTAAAATTGGAATATTTTGAACTTTGTGTTAAATTGGCCAAATTATCAATTTCCAATCACTTTATTTTGTAGTTGAAACAGTTGACTTGGCGATTTCTTGTGCTCAATCGATAGAATAGAAGTAATACTAGTGAAATAGCTAAGAATTTGGTTGATTGGAATAATGTAATTGACCTAAAATGGGAGTCAAAGTCGGCAAAATCGCCAATTCGTAACTATCGCTGACACATCAAAATTCATGTGAGCATAATTTCGTAAATTTTTCATCAAATTTCAAACTTTTTGTTTTATTACCTTCAGAAAAAGATTCTCTATCATTTCATAAGAAAAAATAACAAAATTTTTTTTTTTAAATTCTTGGACCCTGGTGTGCACTTTGAAAATAGGCCTCTGGATCCTGAAAGTGTTAAAGATTATGTTTTTCTGAAGGTAATAAAACAAAAAAAAAATTCTGATCAGTACTTACCGAGATACAGAGGCGAGAAGTTGACCCAAAATGACTGGGTGGCGGCAACATCAGCGATTTCCACAAAATCGCATTTCTTTATTTTACGTTTTTTATACTTTTTTCTTTTCTTTTCTAATTTTTTTCTTTTTCTAGTAACATTTGTGGCCTGTGAGACCAATACTGTATATAATGTATACATATACACTCACTGTATTGAACACAATAACCGCACTAAAATTATTTAAATTTTGTTTACCACTACTGTTTACTACAATAAACATGCACAAATCTTGTATAATACTAATGTTCTATTATATATTTACATATGTACAGTCACTGGACATGTTTTTAGAACTGCTGCAGCTTGTGGAAGTCCTTGAAACAAGGTATCATGCACAGAGGTACCTCACATTCCTCACACATAAAGCAAGTGTCTTTGCGTCTTTGTTGCCGTCATTTTGTTTGTGCACAGTCAACACATCTCGTCTGAGCAAATTCCTTCTTAGTTGCAGGAAGCTGTATTATGAAGTGATCACCTTCCCTCCTCAAATGCTTGGGTATTTCCTGAGGAGTTCGAGGACGGTTTTGTATAGCAGTTATTGTTACCTGGTACTTCATAATGAGTTGTCTGACAACAGACAAACAAAATTCACCATACGGCGGTCTATTTCTGGTCTTTATTTGGTATGTATTATATGCATTGAGCATTGAAATATGCATGAGATGGAAGAAAAGTTTCATGTACCACTTGTAACTCTTACAAACACAATCAACAAAGCCTATTTGCATGTCACATTTGTCAACCAAATGCATGTTTTGTGTATAGTCAATCACTGTCACTGGTTTTCGAATACGTTCATTAGTTACTCTATCAACTTTGCCACTGTCTTGCATTTTGTTAGGGTGAATGGTTGTCAACAATGCGACATCTCATTTGTCATGCCACCGTAATGCCATGATGTCATTGGCAGTAAACACCTGAACCTCACCACTACGAGTGCCTGCGTTGAACCTGGGCATATGTTTACGATTAGAACGCACTGTGCCACACACATCTGTCATGTTCACTCACAAGAAATCACTGAGTAAAGGACTTGTGTACCATTTATCAGTATATAATGTATGCCCCTTACTAAGATAAGGTGCCATCATGTTTCTCACTACGTCACCTGAGATACCCAATAACATCCTGGTATCTTTCAATGTTTTACTTCCCGTGTATACAATAATATCCAATACCAGGCCACTGTCACAGTCACGGAATACAAACAGTTTTATACCAAAGCATTTCCTCTTGCTCAGTATACATTTATACTGCTTGAATGACAGTCTACCTTTGAACAAAATCAGACTCGTCAATTACAAGATTCTTGAATGGATAAAAGTACATGTTGAACTTTTGTTTCAGATGCATAAAAACATTTCTAATCTTGTGTAACCTGTCACTTCTGTCAGGCCTGGTTTTGTCAGAGAAGTGCAACATATGTAACAGTAAGATAAACCTGTTCACTGGGATGATTTCACTGAAGGCTGGGGTACAAATTAGCCGATCTGTGAACCAGTATGATTTTATATTATGCTTATAGATATGAGGCATAAGCATTATAGTTGCAAAAATCAAATACATTTCAGCCACAGTTGTCTCTTTCCACTGGTGTAGTCTTGACTGTGGTGATATGATTGTATTTGCCTTGGTGTACTCAAAATACTTGTTACTTTCCCTGACAATAGTTTCCATCAAGGGCTGGTCAAGAATAGGTCAAAGAATTCCAGTTCATTTGCAGTGTTTCCAAGGAAACAAGTTGGTAGAATTCCACTTTGAGAGTCGTCAAACTGGTGGGGCTTGGGAACAAAATTGGGATTTTGCTGCCAATCCCAGATATGGTTTGCTGGTGGATACTGGACATCATAAGCTGGCTGTGGTGGTAGTTGTGGTTGTAGTGGGGTGGTGGCTGATGCTCCGCTTCGTCCTTGAGCTGATGAGTCAGCGGCGTGGGTCCCAGCCTGGGCTGGTGAGTCATGCATGGCCGTGGCACTACCATCACCACTACCATCATCACCACTACCGCCATCACCACCAATATCACCACCTACTGATGCCTGTGGTCCATCCATGCCAAGTGTAGCCACATCATCCTCACTTTTACTGTCTATTCCTGGTGTAGGGCCATGGGATGTACTCCGGGATGTACTCCAGGATGTACTCCAGGATGTACTCCATCCCCTTGGCACTGCATAGGAAACACTCCCCAAGTGCATGCAGCGGCGTATATACCAACGCTTCACTAGTGAATATGATTCCTCACTATCACTACTCGAATGATCGTCAAGAGCAATAAAATCACAATCCACATCACTATCATCATCATTACTGAAGTCTGAGGCCTGGCCATGCGAAAATATTAGTTTTCTATTGCGACAAGGTACAACTGAACGTGACTGAGACGTGCCCACACCAGAGATAGAAGGCTGAGGATCGTCAGGATTTTCTGCACTACTTTTGATATCCTGGTCATTCCTTTCGGTCATTAATTGATCAAAGCCATAGAATTTGCCTTTATTTCCACTTCCATCAGAGTCAGAACTATCAGATAGGAAGAGCAGAGTCCCAGTTCGCCTTGGAGTGAGAGCTGCCTTGTGACAAGGCATGGTAAACAAAGGTAACTGAGGTGGCGTTCCCACAATGCCATGCGGGCGCCTAGAATTTTTGTTTATGGTGCACACACACCACGCAGATCCATTCTCTCAGATGTAGGCCTACCAGCCATCTCGCACTAAATTTGACGCCTCTAGAATTTTGGTGTAGATCTACGGTTTGAACCCTCAACGTATAGCCGTAGATCTACAGCACGGACCCTGAAAGGGTTAACAATGTGAATAAGATGACGGCTGTGTAGGTTAGAAGTGGGATAGATAGTTTTGGCAGAGGACCAGTCAGTAGGATGACTGTGATCTCTAACATGATAGAAAAGGGCACTATTTGTGTTGGTAAGTCTAACAGTTTTATTTTTGTGCCCCGAAAATGTCTTGTTCTTCCTCTCTTTCTCTTGTTTCTGTTCTCTTCGCCTCTATATACTGGCTCACTCACTTCCTTCTGTCAGTATGACTTTGTAAATGGCCCAAGATGGACAAAAACGTCGTCATAAGCTTTTCTCTCTCCTATATGGAGGTTATTTGTATATTGTTCCAGTCATGGTATTGTATCTTATTGTTCAATATATTTATTGTAGGAAATCTGAATAAATGAGGAATGGGTATAATTGAAAATGACTGCTTTATCGTAATGCTGTAGAGTGAAGTGCTGTACGTATCTCAGCATTAGTTATGGGCTTCTTTCTTGTCAGTTGTCTCCACATCTCCAAACTTTCATTTGGTATTATATATCACTTCATTTTTTATGCCACATGATTTGCTGTTAGACCTAATGATATTCAGTCCTCAGCATATTTTGAATCTAACAAGAAGCCTACTGCTTTGTCATACATTATGAGATCCACAGTTAATGACTTGAAGCTGCAGATATAAACTATATTTTGTCTACCCTGAACTATAATGTTGCTACTGACCTAAGATTCTTCCTTGAGAACTATAACAAAACATCGTGATGTTTTTTACTTTCTTCGTCTTCTTTCAACAAACTGGCCACATCCCACCTAAGCAGGATGGCCCAAGAAAAATGAAAGTTTCTCTTTTTAACTTTAGTAATGTATACAGGAGAAGGAGTTACTAGCTCCTTGCTCCCTTTTTTACTTTCATATAATTGTATTTGATTGTGTGATGTTTTTGTGACATGATGTGATTCAAGTAAGATCCAGAGCTCATTTAATTCCTTTTTTTTTCCAGGAGTGGAACTACACAACAAGAAGAAGAAGAAGAAGAAGTAGAAAGGATGCAGAGCATTAAGTTATTTATATCTTGAGTAAATAAAAACAGATATTAATGCTAAAACTGTCCAAACGTAGGGCTACATTCGCACGCGTAGCGCTCCAAACATAGACTTACGTTCGATTTTACATTGTTTCTTATGTAAAAAATGCAGATCTACGTTTGGAGCGTTACGTGTGCAAATGTAGATCTATATTTGGACAGTTTAAGGGTTAAAGTAGATACTCAAGTAAAGTTCATGTAGTCCTTGTTATACCTCAAAGATGTACAGTATTACTTAAAAAGGGCGGCTTGAAAGTATCACAACGTAAAGGTTTCTTGGACTTATATGACTTTGTTATTGTACACTGTCTTATTTCTTAGAAATTCCATATATATTATATACATTCCCATTAGTATTTATGATGTGTTTGAGCTGCTACAGGCCTGAAGCGCTTGTGCAGTATAAAATAAGGGGCATCTGTAAAGCAAAATTTTTAATTTCCCATTGACTTAATGAGAGAAATAAGAAGACACTTTCAACAAAGACATCTTTTATTAATTTGATGTTTCACCTACTGGAGGCTTTATGATAAAGCTCCAAGGGGGTGAAACATCATAGTAATGAAAACTTTCTTTGCCCTTAGTGTCTTTTTACCGCCAGTTTTCGCTTAATAGCCATTAGTATTTTTTGGTACCGTAGACATTTTTAGTAAAACGTTTCTGAAGTGTCATAATATTGAGAGGTATGTTTTATGTCAGGGGCCATGTCTATATGCCTGTTTTGGCCCCTTTCCGTAAGAACATGTCGAATCCAGCTCTGGTCTAGTTGTCTTTAGACACATGTCATTTTAATATGGGGATTATTATTAGGAGACTGATATGACTAAATGAAATGTGATCTTTATTATAAAAGAATCCATATAAAACTTAGTATGTGATACAAAGCTCTCTCTCTTGTAGTGTTATACATAAGAGTACATGTTGTCTGGAACTCAGTAATCTAGAGTGAGGAATTGTGTTTAAGGGTGAGTGCCTAAATCTGCACAGAAGAGTGTATGAATCTACTCAGTGCTGTGAATATACTCAGAGCAAAGGAGGTGAACCTACTGCCCTGAGTTGGACCTTACTCAGAGTGAGTAGTGAGAACCTACTCTGAGCGAGTGTGGGAACCTGCTCAGAGCAAGGGTGGTGAACATACTGACTACCACTGAGTGGTAAGCGGGCGTCAGGTCGATCACGTGACTGAGGGAGACGTCAGTACCTGAACTGCTATCCGGCTCTGTAATTAGTGGTTTCCCGCTACATGACAATAACAATATTATGAATGCCTAACAATATAATATAACAATATTACCAATAACACACATATATATATATTATATATATATATATATATATATATATATATATATATATATTTTATTTTTTTTTTTTTATTATCACACCGGCCGATTCCCACCAAGGCAGGGTGGCCCGAAAAAGAAAAAACTTTCCCCATCATTCACTCCATCACTGTCTTGCCAGAAGGGTGCTTTACACTACAGTTTTTTAAACTGCAACATTAACACCCCTCCTTCAGAGTGCAGGCACTGTACTTCCCATCTCCAGGACTCAAGTCCGGCCTGCCGGTTTCCCTGAATCCCTTCAAAAATGTTACTTTGCTCACACTCCACAGCACGTCAAGTATTAAAAACCATTTGTCTCCTTTCCCACTCCTATCAAACACGCTCACGCATGCCTGCTGGAAGCCCAAAAGCCCTCGCACACAAAACCTCCTTTACCCCCTCCCTCCAACCCTTCCTAGGCCGACCCCTACCCCGCCTTCCTTCCACTACAGACTGATACACTCTTGAAGTCATTCTGTTTCGCTCCATTCTCTCTACATGTCCGAACCACCTCAACAACCCTTCCTCAGCCCTCTGGACAACAGTTTTGGTAATCCCGCACCTCCTCCTAACTTCCAAACTACGAATTCTCTGCATTTATTCACACCACACATTGCCCTCAGACATGACATCTCCACTGCCTCCAGCCTTCTCCTCGCTGCAACATTCATCACCCACGCTTCACACCCATATAAGAGCGTTGGTAAAACTATACTCTCATACATTCCCCTCTTTGCCTCCAAGGACAAAGTTCTTTGTCTCCACAGACTCCCAAGTGCACCACTCACTCTTTTTCCCTCATCAATTCTATGATTCACCTCATCTTTCATAGACCCATCCGCTGACACGTCCACTCCCAAATATCTGAATACGTTCACCTCCTCCATACTCTCTCCCTCCAATCTGATATTCAATCTTTCATCACCTAATCTTTTTGTTATCCTCATAACCTTACTCTTTCCTGTATTCACCTTTAATTTTTTTCTTTTGCACACCCTACCAAATTCATCCACCAATCTCTGCAACTTCTCTTCAGAATCTCCCAAGAGCACAGTGTCATCGGCAAAGAGCAGCTGTGACAACTCCCACTTTGTGTGTGATTCTTTATCTTTTAACTCCACGCCTCTTGCCAAGACCCTCGCATTTACTTCTCTTACAACCCCCTCTATAATATATTAAACAACCACGGTGACATCACACATCCTTGTCTAAGGCCTACTTTTACTGGGAAAAAATTTCCCTCTTTCCTACATACTCTAACTTGAGCCTCACTATCCTCGTAAAAACACTTCACTGCTTTCAGTAACCTACCTCCTACACCATACACTTGCAACATCTGCCACATTGCCCCCTATCCACCCTGTCATACGCCTTTTCCAAATCCATAAATGCCAAAAAAGACCTCTTTAGCCTTATCTAAATACTGTTCACTTATATGTTTCACTGTAAACACCTGGTCCACACACCCCCTACCTTTCCTTTAAAACCCCTTTGTTCATCTGCTATCCTATTCTCCGTCTTACTCTTAATTCTTTCAATTATAACTCTACCATACACTTTACCAGGTACACTCAACAGACTTATCCCCCTATAATTTTTGCACTCTCTTTTATCCCCTTTGCCTTTATACAAAGGAACTATGCATGCTCTCTGCCAATCCCTAGGTACCTTACCCTCTTCCATACATTTATTAAATAATTGCACCAACCACTCCAAAACTATATCCCCACCTGCTTTTAACATTTCTAATCTTTATCCCATCAATCCCGGCTGCCTTACCCCCTTTCATTTTACCTACTGCCTCACGAACTTCCCCCACACTCACAACTGGCTCTTCCTCACTCCTACAAGATGTTATTCCTCCTTGCCCTATACACGAAATCACAGCTTCCCTATCTTCATCAACATTTAACAATTCCTCAAAATATTCCTTCCATCTTCCCAATACCTCTACCTCTCCATTTAATAACTCTCCTCTCCTATTTTTAACTGACAAATCCATTTGTTCTCTAGGCTTTCTTAACTTGTTAATCCACTCCAAAACTTTTTCTTATTTTCAACAAATATATATATATAGTAACATTTATTTTTCAACAAAATAATATATATATATATATATATAATATATATAATAATATATATATATATATATATATATATATATATCTTATTTATTTATATTATCCACACTGGCCGATTCCCACCAAGGCAGGGTGGCCGAAAAAGAAAAACTTTCACACATCATTCACTCCATCACTGTCTTGCCAGAAGGGTGCTTTACACTACAGTTTTTAAACTGCAACATTAAACACCCTCAATCAGAGTGCAGGCACTGTACTTCCCATCTCAGGACTCAAGTCCGGCCTGCCGGTTTCCCTGAACCCCTTCATAAATGTTACTTTGCTAACACTCCAACAGCACGTCAAGTATTAAAAACCATTCGTCTCCATTCACTCCTATCAAACACGCTCACGCAACGCCTGCTAGAAGTCCAAGCCCCTCGCACACAAAACCTCCTTTACCCCCTCCCTCCAACCTTTCCTAGCTGACCCCTACCCCGCCTCCTTCCACTACAGACTGATACACTCTTGAAGTCATTCTGTTTCGCTCCATTCTCTCTACATGTCCGAACCACCTCAACAACCCTTCCTCAGCCCTGTGGACAACAGTTTTGGTAATCCCGCACCTCCTCCTAACTTCCAAACTACGAATTCTCTGCATTATAATTCACACACACATTGCCCTCAGACATGACATCTCCACTGCCTCCAGCCTTCTCCTTGCTGCAATATCATCACCCATGCTTCACACCCATATAAGATGTTGGTAAAACTATACTCTCACACATTCCCCTCTTTGCCTCCAAGGACAAAGTTCTTTGTCTCCACAGACTCCTAAGTGCACCATCACACCCTTTTCCCCTCATCAATTCTATGATTCACCTCATCCTTCATAGACCCATCCGCTGACACGTCCACTCCCAAATATCTGAATACATTCACCTCCTCCATACTCTCTCCCTCCAATCTGATATCCAATCTTTCATCACCTAATATTTTTGTTATCCTCATAACCTTACTCTTTCCTGTATTCACTTTAATTTTCTTCTCTTGCACACCCTACCAAATTCATCCACCAATCTCTGCAACTTCTCTTCAGAATCTCCCAAGAGCACAGTGTCATCAGCAAAAGAGCAACTGTGACAACTCCCACTTTATGTGTGATTCTTTATCTTTTAACTCCACGCCTCTTGTCAAGACCCTCGCACTTACTTCTCTTACAACCCCATCTATAAATATATTAAACAACCACAGTGACATCACACATCCTTGTCTAAGGCCTACTTTTACTGGAAATAATTTCCCTCTTTCCTATGTACTCTAACTTGAGCCTCACTATCCTCGTAAAAACTCTTCACTGCTTTCAGTAACCTACCTCCTACACCATACACCTGCAACATCTGCCACATTGCCCCCTATCCACCCTGTCATATGCCTTTTCCAAATCCATAAATGCCACAAAGACCTCTTTAGCCTTATCTAAATACTGTTCACTTATATGTTTCACTGTAAACACCTGGTCCACACACCCCCTACCTTTCCTAAAGCCTCCTTGTTCATCTGCTATCCTATTCTCCGTCTTAATTTTAATTCTTTCAATAATAACTCTACCATACACTTTACCAGGTATACTCAACAGACTTATCCCCCTATAATTTTTGCACTCTCTTTTGTCCCCTTTGCCTTTATACAAAGGAACTATGCATGCTCTCTGCCAATCCCTAGGTACCTTACCCTCTTCCATACATTTATTAAATAATTGCACCAACCACTCCAAAACTATATCCCCACCTGCTTTTAACATTTCTATCTTTATCCCATCAATCCCGGCTGCCTTACCCCCTTTCATTTTACCTACTGCCTCACGAACTTCCCCCACACTCACAACTGGCTCTTCCTCACTCCTACAAGATGTTATTCCTCCTTGCCCTATACACGAAATCACAGCTTCCCTATCTTCATCAACATTTAACAATTCCTCAAAATATTCCCTCCATCTTCCCAATACCTCTAACTCTCCATTTAATAACTCTCCTCTCCTATTTTTAACTGACAAATTCATTTGTTCTCTAGGCTTCCTTAACTTGTTAATCTCACTCCAAAACTTTTTCTTATTTTCAACAAAATTTGTTGATAACATCTCACCCACTCTCTCATTTGCTCTCTTTTTACATTGCTTCACCACTCTCTTAACCTCTCTCTTTTTCTCCATATACTCTTCCCTCCTTGCATCACTTCTACTTTGTAAAAACTTCTCATATGCTAACTTTTTCTCCCTTACTACTCTCTTTACATCATCATTCCACCAATCGCTCCTCTTCCCTCCCGCACCCACTTTCCCGTAACCACAAACTTCTGCTGAACACTCTAACACTACATTTTTAAACCTACCCCATACCTCTTCGACCCAATTGCCTATGCTCTCAATAGGCCATCTATCCTGCAATAGCTGTTTATATCTTTCCCTAACTGCCTCCTCTTTTAGTTTATAAACTTTCACCTCTCTCTTCCCTGATGCTTCTATTCTCCTTGTATTTCATCTACCTTTTACTCTCAGTGTAGCTACAACTAGAAAGTGATCTGATATATCTGTGGCCCCTCTATAAACATGTACATCCTGAAGTCTACTCAACAGTCTTTTATCTACCAATACATAATCCAACAAACTACTGTCATTTTGCCCTACATCATATCTTGTATACTTATTTATCCTCTTTTTCTTAAAATATGTATTACCTATAACTAAACCCCTTTCTATACAAAGTTCAATCAAAGGGCTCCCATTATCATTTACACCTGGCACCCCAAACTTACCTACCACACCCTCTCTAAAAGTTTCTCCTACTTTAGCATTCAGGTCCCCTACCACAATTACTCTCTCACTTGGTTCAAAGGCTCCTATACATTCACTTAACATCTCCCAAA